CAAAATATACCTCTCGCAGAGGCAAAAAAAAGGTTGAATACTCCTCCTTCCCCTACACTCGGCCCTGGCTTCTCCTCTCAGTCCCTCACAACAGGGTCTAGCTCTGCTTTCGCTATTCCTACTCATAATAGGTTTGAGGCTCTAAACGGAATTAATAATGGTGATTATCACTCCCCAGGTTCGCAGGCTTCTTACGCACAAATAGCGGCAGGCTCATCCCCAAGGCAGTATAGGTCGCAACCAAACCATAATGTTAGAAAATCGGCTGCTTCTCCTATTAACGAGGCACAATCCCACAGGAGTGCCGCGGAGGGCAGGGATCATCCTCCTCCTCCTCCTCAAAATTTCGATAGAAGTCCGCCTTCTTCTTCTTCTTTGGGAAACGGAGTCTGTTTCCAGCCAAATTTCACCAGCACGCCTAACACCAACTCAAACTCAAACTCGCATGGGGGAAGCTCCTCTCCTCCCTCCTACAATCAGAACTTGAATAGAGAGTCGAGTGGTTTTGAGGCTCTTCTAGATCTTCTCAACTCCTGTGGCGGATTAGGTAACCCCAATCTTTCCCAAATAATAAATAAGATTCTAATGCTAATTAGAATAATTTCGCCTTACTTAAACCAGCTCTTCAATATTTTTAGTTCCAACAACTCAACGTCTCAGCAGTATACGGTTTTTCCCCAACGCCCCTCGCAGCCCTCCGTCCAATGGGGCGAACAACTTTTATCATCCGTAAGTCCATCATTGAAAATATTATTACCTCCCTCTTCCCTCCTCCTTCCTAACCCTACCCCTTTTCCCTTCCTTCCTTGGATACGTCCTCCGTTCCCCTTTCTCCTTCCCCCACCCCCCCTTCCCTTTCCCCCTTCCCTCTTCCTCCCCCCTCCCCTCTTCCCCTCCCCCTTCTCTTCCCCTCATCTCCCCTCGGTCCCCAATCCACATGACTAAGTGTACCTTTAAAGGTCGTAAACTCTCCGTCCTGTCGTGGAATTGTCGTGGATTGCGAGGTAGATTGCCAGACATTCAGCGGTTAGCTGATTCGTATGATGTTATTTGCGTACAAGAGACTCTAATAAATCCCTCAAGCAAAATTCACCTTAATGGCTTTCGGGTGGTCAGGAAGGATAGATTGGCTATCGGGGAATGTGGTATATGCATT